AGTAATAAACTTTCAAAAAGAAAGTGAATTTGGCATAACTTATTAAACCCATGTTAACTTTTAGTGACTTCTTAAATGTTGAAAAATTATAAATCATGTCAAATTGCATAATTAATTATGGATTTACAACAAAGATTAATTCCAAGTTGCACATATATAATTTTCACAATGCCTCCTTACTCTTTTTGAAAAATGAGACATTTGCCCATGTCTTTACCTGTGACATCTCTCTTATGATCAGTAATTTCTCAAAGGTCTCGAAAGCATATCTGCAAGTTATAAATCATCTGATCCTGGGAGTTTTAACTAATTTAGTGTACTAAACATTATTCTACTATATTTTTGCCTTCTTATTTTGTTTGTTTGGTTTTTTTGTCATTTCTAAAGAACATTTTACATTGGTTAAAAATACAGAAGTAGATTAAGTAGTTCTGTCTTTTCTTTGTCATTTGACACCATTAAACTATATTGTACAAATAAGGGGTTTAATTATTGATTGGTTAATTTCTTGATCTGAACATATTGTTTATCAAATGCCCTCCTGAATACCTTTGTGATGACTGTTTCCTCAAAATTCAATGCTATTTTTCCAAATATTTTCATGGTTCACTTCTTGACAAATGTTGTCTCCCTAAGGAGGTCTTTTATGACCTCTTTAAGGGAGTGCCCCATCCATTGTTTTCTCTAAACTTTCTTTGCTTTCTTTGATAGCATTTATGACTATGACTACCACTTGGCATAATATATAGGCATGAATATATAGAGATAGATATTTTAAAATAATTGTATCTATCTTCTCCACTGGGATGTAACCCTCAGTAGGGCAGGTGCACATTATAACATAGTTCTCCGCTGTATTCTAACACCAAGAACAGTACTGACATGTAACAGATACTCAATATATATTTATTTAATTAATAAAGTAAAATATTACTTCATGTTGCCTTAATCTCAATAAGTTCTTTAGACTTCCTGACAGCATCCTTAAGGTTTTTGGCTACTTCTCAGCATTTACCCTAGCTATACTGCATTTCTTCTATATTTGTACCAATAATAGAGAGACTTTATAAGAATGTTATAAATTATGTTTAAGGCCATGAAATAGCCATTCACCCATCCTTATGAAGTAATATAAAAAATGGTGGCTATTTATTTATTAACAGAGACTCTGTATATTCATTTATTGTTTATACTCTTACATTATTTCTTGATTTATTGAAGTTGGAGTCTCACTCTGTCACCCAGGCTGTGGCAGCTCATGGCCACTACAGCCTTGACCTGCTGGGCTCAGGTGATCCTTCTGCCTCAGCCTTCCAAGTAGCTGGAACTACAGGCACACACCACCATGACCAGGTAAATTTTTTTTTTTTAATTTATTGTAGAGACGAGGTCTCACCAACTTGCCCAGGTTGATCTCAAACCCCTGGACTCAGGCAATCCTCTCACCTTGGCCTCCCAAAGAGCTGATATTATAGACTTGAGTTACCACACCTGGTCTCCTACATGCTTTTAAAAGTTTTTGAAGTATCTTACAATATCTTCTTAACTAAGGGTAACTACCAAGTCGTGTGGGCAGGGACAGAGGAGAAGGGGTAATTATACCAGAAATCTTAAGCTAACCAAAGTAATTGCAACTGAATACAAAATTTAATTCTATACTTCCTGCCACAAATTAATGCCAAAATAACATGATTGTATATCTTTCATTAGAAACAAAGGGAAACTCAAAAGAAAAAATTAATTTCCTCTATATTTGAATACTAAAAGTCATGAGTTTTTCTGCGAATGCTAAATGAATTTCATAGGATAAAACACAAACATTGAACTCCGAATGAGCTGCTGAATTGTGATACTTATCTTCAAGGTCAATTTTTGAAATAGAATAAAAATTTTCTTTTTCATTTAAACTAAATGCTTTTTCATGCTTTCTGAATACTTTAAAATCAGATTTTTTTCAAAACAAGTTCATTTATCAAAAATTATATTCTTCAAAATAACTAGCTAATTCAATTCAAATATTTATTAAATACCTACAATGTGCTGGGAACTGTGGTCATTACTTGAGAAGTAATTGTTTTTCCTTTAAAAGTGATAAATAACATTAATTCACCTATTGTCTAAGACTGTAAGAACAAAACATTATCTGGCATATGTTAGACAAATTATGATATAAACTATAAGGGACTTGGTATGCCTAATCAGGGGGATACCTTGTTTTAATTTAATAGTAGCAAATAAGATGAGTATTTTATTGCCACCTCTAGAAAATGCCTCTTTCTGTTGGTTGGCTAGGTTTTAAGAAAAATAAGAGTCTAGTGTATTAACCACTGGCTAAGAGTCAACAGACAACTCCTCCAATGGTCAGCTAGGATGCTGTGTCTACATTAAAAGTTTTAAAACCCCTAAATAAATGTAGTTAACATCCTAACTACAATCAGTTTAGGCTATTTCTACATGATAGCAAAATGAACTAGCTGACAAATGAACAGATCATTACAACTGCAAGGTGTTTTAACTTTTGTAATGTTGATTGTTGGGCTACCGAGAAACCAGACCCTGAGGCAGAGATTAGTTTACTGAATATTTACTAAGGAGTGTCCTTGGGCTCAAAACCTGTGGAAAAGTGGGAAATTCAGTAGGAGTGGGCAGAAGTTAATATGTGATATGGACCCAATGACAGCCATAGATGAACACTGGAGGGAGGATAGTTTTTCAGAGTTGTCCTCCTTTGAGTTAAGATGGCCAAGCCTTTATACTGTCACATCAGTCAACCATAAAATATGGTCTTCCCTGGGAAGGGCTATGACCTTGGGTGAGCAGCTCTCTGCAATTGAAGCAATCAATGAAAGAAACTGACAGCTGAAGATGTTTTGCTGGCCACATTCCTTGCTGCTGGGCAACAAGTCCTTCATTGAAGGAAATCTTCTAGGCAAACCACAGTGTCTACCAATAAACTAGGTCTATTGCCTCCTCTTACTCACATTGCCCCTAAAATATCAAATGTTGTAGCCTGGCAAGTTTATGCTCTAGTGAAAAATAATAATGAGCCGGGCTCGGTGGCTCAGCCTGTAATCCCGTGCCTTTGGGAGGCTGAGGTTAGTGGATTGCCAGAGCCCGTGGGTTCAAGACCCACCTGGGCAGTGAGACCTCATCTCTGCAATAAATCAAAAAAATCAGTCAGGCGTGGTAGCACGTACCTGTAATTCCGGCTACTTGGAAGGCTGAGGTGGAAGAATCGCCAGAGCCCAGCAGGTCGAGGCTGCGGTGGCCAGGAGCGGCCACTGCACTGCACTACAGTCTGGGTGACAGAGTGAGACTCCAACTCAAAAATAATAATAATAATAATAATGATAATTTGAACAAGTTGCGTGACTGAATCAGTCTTACATGAGAAATGCTTGGTCCAGCATCTCTATGTAGAAATATTCTGCTATTCAGTTTCTCCATTTATTAAACAAATGAGCCAGAGAGTGTATGAATCCTAACAAATGACCTTTAATTAACAAAAGCAAAAAAATTAGATATTTAGTCAGTAAAAAAGTTCCAGTTAAACCTCAAAGTTACCAGATATTCAGTCTAGACTCCTGTGCCCTTTATAGGATAAATAGTGTAAGAACTCAATCTAAGCCACTAAGTGTTCCTAAATTAAAAAAAAAAAAAATCACAGTATTTTCACCATCCAATATTCATTAGGACAGAAAAAATGACTTAGTGGAAAGAAATGTAAAAGGTGTTTGAACAATTTTTTTCCTTTTATTAAACAAAAAGTCAAAAAAAAAACTAGCATAAGCCAGAGTGCATTGAATATTTCTACTACTTAAGGTTTAAAGATAGAGCTCTTTTGTAATTCATACCATTATAAAACAAAATCTTGATTGGTATTAGTTGATGTATTAGTTGCAGAATAATTTTGAAAGCTATAAGGCAGATTCTTATTACTCTCTTTTCTCCATTCCTTACCCTCCATTTCTTCTTTTGTCTCAGTTGTCTTTTGAAAATTGGGTTCAAAAAAAATCTTAAGGGTCAGTAATTTTAATAAACACAATTTTTTAAAATTTTCAGAGGAAGCAACAATAAAAAAGAATGTTTACCATTCTGACATATTGGATGAAAAGCTATGGACTGGGCACAGTGACTCAAACCTATAATCCCAGCACTTTGGTAGGCCGAGGCAAGAGGATTGCCTGAGCCCAGGGGTCTGAGACAAGCCTGGGCAACTTGGTGAGACCTTGTCTCTACAATATATATATAAAAAAAAAATAGCTGGGTGTGGTAGCATGCGTCTGTAGTTCCGGTCACTTGGAAGACTGAGGTGAAAGGATCGCCTGAGCCCAGCGGGTCCATGGGGTTGGCCATGAGCGTGTCACTGCTACAGCTACTGCTGCTTGTTACTTGCTATGTTGGGCACTGTTTGTATTAACATAATTTTTAAAACATAATTTCTCCCTTTAAGAAATTGACATTAAGTGGATGAAGTGGTAGAGGAGAAGAAAATGCAAGCACCTAAGTATAAAAGCTAAAGAGGTAAAAGAGAGAGAAGACATTACATCTGTTTAAAATAATTGGGATCTGTATCAGACAAAATGGCACTGGAGACCTTAAAGTATGGACTTTAAACAGCTTGGCTATGATTATTTATGGTATTATCTACACAAGCAAAAATGAAGTGAAAATTGGATAACAATTCAGATCAAAGAAGCAATAATTTAACTATCTGGCAATTAATTAAAAGCTTTTAGGTTCAATTGTTTAAATATTTACCTTTATTCTTGATTTTATAGAGTACATAGGCACAGTTTTATGTGTCCACAAAACCATTTCTATAATTACTACAGTAGAAGTAGCATCTCCAATGCTAATTTGATTCTGATTTGTATCTGATGATGTTTTCAAATGTCTCGTGTGTTAAGAAGATTTTTTAAATGCCAGATTTTATAGAACAACTACCTGTCCAATACCATACAAAGGTAAAACTAAACTGAGTCCAATTTTGTACCTAGGCCAAGAGGTGATTCCAGAAGGAATTGTGAAGAGCCACAACAATGTACCAGTGAATAATGAGTAGTACCTACTGTGGCAACTCTTCAGCTAAGATGAGTGTCAACGAAGTATCAGCTTTCTCATTGACTCTGGAGCAAAAAACTGGTTTTGCTTTTGTTGGAATTTTGTGTATCTTCTTGGGACTTCTTATTATCAGATGCTTCAAAATCCTGCTAGACCCATATAGTAGCATGCCTTCTTCTACATGGGAAGATGAAGTTGAAGAGTTTGATAAAGGGACATTTGAATATGCACTCGCATAAAAGTTCCAGCTTTATGGTTTTTATGGTTATGCCATTGGGACACATGCATTTGTAATTACCTTGAGTGTTCAGGGGAGAGGTTCATTTCATTCACTGAATTTAATAAACATCTATGATTAATTCATCTACCATGTTGTGTAAGTGATAAACTATGGTTGGGATTACCTTGCTTTCTTCTGTTCCCACATGGAGGCATTTATTGAATAGAGCATAAAGATTGCTCCAACCATGTATATCATCTTTTGTTCTTATTTCAACCACCTACCTTAAATTTCTGCTTTCCTTCTTGTGCTAATAAACTGTATTAGAGGCAACCTGCCTTCTTCCCTCTGTAAAGCCCTGGTGTGTTCTGCACATTCCAGACTCAGGTCCCTGTAGCTTTAGCAAATCAGTTCTTAAACATGGGGAACTTTCAGTCCAAAGAATAAACAGAATTTATTTTTTCTAATAATAGCCATATGTCAAAAAAAGTTCACAGATGAAAAAAATGTAAGAAAATAACACCCAAGTCCTACAACTTTAAGGAACAGGCCTTAAAGTTTTCCAAATCTCACCAAGCCCTGTCCCTCCTAGTTCTTCTGCTTGCTGAATCTCTTGCAATATAATAGCATAGCTTGGGGTCTAAATTAGACCTGCCTCATACTGATATTTTCTCTCCCAATACCTTGTATTAAGAGAATTTTTAAAAGAGTTTCCATGAAGACCTAGAAAGAGCACTCTCTCAGAAACAACAAGTGCAGTCCCAGCTCTGCCACCATTAGAACTATGCAGCCTTGGGCAAGTGACCTAATGTCTATGAATTTCAGTGAGGGAACTAACCAGAGAATGTTCAATGTACTTTTCAATTCTAGTGCCCTATGAATGCTACAAATGTTCCTGGAAATTCAGAGATCTGAAATGAATGAGGATTGAAGATACCATGAAAAGTTTTTCAGATTAGAAACCTAAACTCAGAGATTTGAATTCTAGCGTTTCAGCCAAGAATTCATAAAGGTAACCTATATTCTTCATCTGTAAAACAAGGATAAAGAAACCCACCCTGAATATCTTCGGGACTATTGAGAGGACCAATGAGATATAGTGAATGTGAAAGCAACTTGCAAACCATAAAACAATGTTTCAATATGCCTTTCTACCATTATTTATTGTCCTCATTAGTAATAGTAGGAAAGGTCACTTCCTCAAACCCTAGGAAGCAGTGGCTTAGTGTAAGTTATTCATTCTCTCCATTTGAGAAAAGAAATGATAATATTATATTGTTCTAAAATTATTTCCAACTACAATATTCTGACTTTCTTTGAGTCATAATGGAGGACTATAGCTGGAGATAAATAAATACAAAAATATTTATGTCACTTGAGAATACATGACTGCCAAGCATGTCAAGAAGGAATAAGACCAATATTTACTGAGAGTTAGCACTAAGTTAGGTACTTTCCATTTATTTGATACTCACCAATTCTTTGGGTTTAGAACTATTATTTCTGTTTTATCTCAATTTTGCAGAAGAACCGAAGCTGAGAGAGATTAAGTAAACTCCCAAAGTCACCAAGCCAGGAAGTGGCTGTGTTAGGGATTAAATTTGTGTAGTTTTACACCTACAATGTAGTTTTACATCCCAGACGTGGTCCTTAACACTTCTTCTACATAGCTTATAGACATGGTTACTGCCCAGGTCTATGGCACTCCAAAATCAGCTGTCTCAGTGAGATTCCTCGATGCTTTCCATCTTGTAATAGGTTTTGAACACTTCTGTATCAGCTATGAATCTTCTGGACCAAATTCTCAACTCAAGGAGACTCTTTGTACCCCAGTTGGTATAAGAGAGTAAACCTGGAATATCTCAGATCCAGTTAGTAACTTGGCCCAAGAACACCTCATTGCATCAGCCTCTCCTCAACACACTGAAAGTTGTATATGCCAGAAGACTGGGCATCTCTTTTGTAACCACAGCTTTTAAAGTATGTTCAACAATTATCATAATACTATAAGAAAGAGATTGGCAGTAGTGGGAAACTGCCAGGGCAGGGGGGATGGATTGGCAGTTCAGGGAAACTGACAGGGGAAGGAGGGGCACACCTCATCAACAAGGGTACCTGCATAATGAATATATATATACCTAACCCTGAATTGTACCCCACATTTTTAAAATTAAAAAAATTAAAAAAAAATAAAGTGTGTTCAAGTAACAGATATTTCATTTGTCTCCCAAAGAAGACACCCACCAAGACCCTCCATTTTGGTGACTAGAAAAAAACAGGGCCAGATCTGTATTTCAAATAAAGACCCTCTAAAACTAAAAGGTAAGAAAATTCTATGAAATATGAGCATTGTCCTATAAATTTTTCAAATATCATCAACTCTACCACAATATTATTTCCAATTCCACTAAAGAGAAATCCTATTAACCAAAAGTATCTTCATCCATAGCTTTTATTCATGGTCTGTTGTGTGCCTTAGATTTATTGGTGGTGGAGAAGGAGGAGGGAAGGGTCATCTCTATTTTCAGAACTAGAAACTGTATAAAAAATATAAATGGCTGGTTACAATATGAATACAAAACGGACATTTCATGAAATGCTAATTCTTCTAGGAATAGACGTCTGTCATAGCCAAATTAGCCTCTAGCTTCCCCTTCCCATAAGCCCTGCCAAGGAGGACAGGAGGAAAGAGAGAAGCTTGCTCCTGTTACCTTTCTTACCTTGTCTAAAAGGCCTAAATCAGGCTTACCTTTCAAGGTTGGCTTTAAGGATTATGTAATTTCATCCATATCCCCCAAACAATCTCCCATCTGCTCCAGAATGTCTGGATTCCCTTAATAGAGAACAAAGACTTTCATTTCACAGTGAGAGATAAAAGGCTTAGAATGAAAATGTCTAGTTGATGTAAGACCAAGACTAAAACTAATTCACACTACTCTGAAGTCAGGCGGTCAGTCACCAAGAAAAAGGAAATTGAGTGATATCAGAGGCATTCACAGCCTATGGTAGAAAAAAAAAGATTGCAGAATAAATAGATGACTCCTGGAAGGGTTGGAAGATGTCAGTTCACAGCTTCTGTCCTGGTCCTGTGAATAGAACATGTTTGGGGTCTCATCCCTATCCTAGCTACCCCCAATCCTGATCCAAACAACCAGCCCCACCCGCTTGAATTTAAAATGTGACTAATTTCTATGCCTAAAGAGCTTCAATATGGAAAGTCAAAAACCTTTGTTGAACAGATAAATGCCTTGTACTGGGGAGCGTTTAAGAACAGAATGAGTTATAAAAGCATACTTGGTCATTCTGTCTCTAGTTCTAATACTGCCTCATGGTATTAGCCTAATTAATATGACATTCACCTAAGAGAATCTAAGGTGTTTTACTTGGGTATCTCCAGACCCCTTTCTATAATCCTGTATCAGTTCACTAACTGACCTTTCCCCTTATTTCAATAGGCATAACACCTAACCCAATCTCTATTGATTCACCACAGAATCTTTTTCTTTCTTTTTTTTAATTTATTTTAAAGATGTGGTTAGGTATGCAAATATTCATTATGAAGGTACCCTTGTTGATGAGTTGTGCCCCACCCATCCACAGAATCTTTGATGTGGTTAAGTAAAATTATCCAGCCAATTGTAAATATTGCTAAAATGATAAAAGCAAGCACTGTGTACAAACCGTTGCTCTTCCAAACCCTATACACAAATTAACTCATCTATTCATTACAATAACTCTACAACATGGCAGTTACCATTATTACTCACATCCACATTTACAGATGAGAAAATTAAGGCACAGAAAGACTGGATAACTTGGCTAAGTTCACACAGACAGGAAGTGGCAGGGCCAGAATACAAATCAAACACTCTGACTCCAAAGTCTTGCTCTTAACCACTATGTTACACCACAACTGAGCTACTCAGACAACTGAAAATCATTTAGATAGTTTCTTATAAGACACAAGGCAGACTCATTCAATCATCTTGATTGAAAATCAGTTGCAGAACCTGTAGGTCAGAATTGTTGGTGCTGTATTAATAATCATCTACTCATAGATTTGAAAGAGAAAAAAAAAAAAACCTAAAAAACCTTTTCCTCAACTAAACTGAAAAACCGGGTGTGATAAAAACATGTTTTCTCAGTTGAAAACCAAAAGGTTATTTAATAGTGTCACTGGGAAACTTACCCACAGCTTGATTCCTGCTTGAAAAGTTTTTCTAGTAGGTAGAAATATTTTCTTTTTTCTTTTTCTTTTTTTTTTTGAGTTGGAGTCTCACTCTGTCGCCCAGACTGGAGTGCAGTGGCCACTCCCAGCCACCGCAGCCTCGACCTGCTGGGCTCCGGCGATCCTTCCGCCTCAGCCTTCCAAGTAGCCGGAATTACAGGTACGCGCTACCATGCCTGGCTGATTTTTTTTTTTTTTTTTTTTTTTTATTGTAGAGATGAGGTCTCGCTGCCCAGGCGGATCTCGAACCCGCGGGTTCAGGCAATCCATTCACCTCAGCCTCCCAAAGGCGCAGGATTACAGGCTGAGCCACTGAGCCCAGCTAGAAATATTTTCAATAAGTCATTGATTCCACTCTCAATCTGCTCAGTCCTTGTGTAGAGAAAAATCAAGATAAATCTACTACATGCACGACAAAATCATTTCAGATACCATTTTCTAGTTCAATATAGAAATTTTCTCTGGAGAACTATATTTTGGTTACACATACTAAACAATAGGAGGTCACTAGAACTCATCTGAAATAAGACAATGGAACTCCATTCTTCTAGACCCAAAAGACTAAATTACACTCATTTTCTTTTCTTTTTTTTTTTGGATAATTGCTCATATTTTTTTGGATGATTGCTGTTAAGCAATCCAATTCTCCTTAAGAATTAAAGAAATTGGATTTTACTTTGTGTCTAAAAGGATTAATGGTTTACTACTAGTTACCAGTTGATGTGGTACTTAAGGCCCCTCAGGGCTAATAACTAGGTGGGGCTTACAGTTCTAATCCAGGCCAATCATTGCACAGACATCTCTTTCAAGAAAGATTCTAACCAATAAAAAGAAACCTAAGATTCTGGGCTGATACCTAAGTGCTCCATATATTCCTGGGTAATGCAGAAGCAGGTTACACATCCCTAGAAGAAGGCTCCTTGGTGGTAAGTCAAACATTTCTGGGTGGGGAAAAATTGCACTCAATAATATGTCATAAAGTAGATTCTGAGGAGTGGAGTAAAGGTGAGAATGCCAAAGTCTACTAAAAAAAAACGAGATGTTTTGTAAAAACTAAAAGATGACAGCTTCACTTATAGATTCCCCAGGAAATATTATCTGAGAGTTGAAGTTAGAACTTTTTTCTGTCAAGTATCTTTAATAAAGTACATGAGAGAGGCAAGGTTTTGTGGGGTTTTTTTGTATTTATGTAAGTTTTCTAGAATTTTCTTTGAAAAGCTAAAATTTAAGATATCAGTACAAAATATTATTCTAAAGAAATTGTTGGGCCAACATTGTGGTCCAACACTGTGGAATTATGAAAACTATTATAAAGCCTAATCATCTCACAGTCAATTATAAACCTCTGAATTATTGAGGCCATTTCATTAAAAGGAGTCAGTAAAGAATGATTATTTTACCTAAATATAGCATAAGACTTTATTAAAGAATATGACTTATTTCTTTACTCCAAGCACTCATATTTTTTAAAGTTCCATAATAATATTTACAATACATACAAAGGTATGAACAAATGAAACATTTTGAAGGATAGTAAAAGATCCAATAATTTACAGAGACATCATCTTGATGAGATGTATTTTTTAAATTCACATTCTAAAATGTAATTTTCACTTGTTGCGTAAGTAGGAATATATCTCTAGAACAAATACATTACTTGAACATGTACAGATTTTTATAAACTAACAGGAGCATTTTTTAGAAGATTTAGATTTTTTTCATTTTATGTATCAATGTACATTCCTATCAATCAGAAAATATGATAGTTTGCAGCTTCAGCATTTAGTACTGTCAGTGAACTGTTTCAAGCTGAGGATATTCTCATCAGTTCTCACTGTACTCAGTTGGTCGTGTTACATCTTTTCTAAAGTCATACTGAATTCAAGTGCACTGACTCCAATCAAATACTACAAACACAGGTGACATTTTAATGACTTTATTGGAAATTCTGTTTGCTGAAACAGGTTTCCAGTTATTTATTATAGGATTTAATTGCTCAGGTATTAAAGTCCCTGGACAGGTGCTTTTTAGTGAAATGAATTTAAAATTGTATGTCTTGTAAAAGAAAACTATTCTCTCATGCCCCACCCCTACTCAAATGTATTTGTATTACTTGAAACAAGTTTAATGTTCTTTTTCAATGACAGCTTTAAAGAATATTCTGAAGATTACATAGGCGACAATATATCAAGAACCTATTTATTGAACTCATCTAGAACAAAAGCCAAGAGCTCCCTAAAGTAACCACATTAGTGTTTATTTTGAGGAGGAAATATATAGATTTGTTTAACAATCATAAAATAGATATCTCAACCCAAAAGATCCATTTTGGAAGATGTCACTGAACAACTCTTCCAGTGTATTTCTGGATTCAGTGCCCAGTAATCCCAATCGTTTTCAAGTTAATGTCATAAATGAGAGCCATGAGAACAGTGCAACTGTGAATGATAACTCTGACCCACCACATTACGAAGAAACCTCTTTTGGGGATGAAGCCCATAACAGACTCAGAATCAGCTTTAGGCCTGGGAATCAGGAGTGCTACGACAATTTCCTCCAAAATGGAGAAACTGCTAAAACAGATGCCAGTTTTCATGCTTATGATTCTCACACAAACACATATTACCTACAAACCTTTGGCCACAACACCATGGATGCTGTTCCCAAGATAGAGTACTACCGCAACACCGGCAGCATCAGTGGACCCAAGGTCAATCGACCCAGCCTCCTTGAGATTCACGAGCAACTCGCCAAGGTAAGCCTGAAGGACACAGGCAAGTATCTTCCCTTATTTGTTCCTTCAGGTCATTTCCTCCTCTTTCATAACATTATGAATGTGAAACAGTCAAAGAAAGAAGTCTGTTCCCAACCATCCATCTTACTTACACAACTGTTTCTAGTTCCCAATACACAGAAAATGCACAAAAAGGGTTTCACACACGTTTACTGACTTAGGATAGAGAACTAAAGAACTAACTCTAAAAGTTAGCAATATGTCGTATCTTGTTTACAATTATAGTCTACTCTATTCACACTTGGTTAAACATGCCAAACTGAATATTAAGCTGGTTCCACCTCAATATTACTGCCTCTATATCAACTGTTAAAAAAAAATCACTTGTGTTCTCTGTAGTTAATACTGTGGGTGCTAGCCTTTAGTGTGCATGGGTATTTTTTACATTCTTTAAAGAGAAAGCATAGATTTATAAGATTCAGCATTTTATCCCTTTCTTTTTCAAACTTTGCCCAAGACTTCTCGGCACACTTAAGCATACAAAAATAACTAAATTAAATTTAAGTGCAAAAGCAACAGAAGTGGCTAACCTTTTCATTATTTAGGCAATATAGCCAGGCTTCCCAAATCTGCTAGAAGTATGAGGCAGCATCTACTTCCCCAATTTACAAAAAAATTTAAAAAGAGAGAAAGAAAGAAAGAAAAAGAAAACAGAATTTTAACTTCATTAAAAAGGAAATGAAATAAATTCACACTGTCCTTGGGACTGACATTCTAGAGAGAGAAAAGTAGCTTATTTATAATTTCTAAAGCCATGGATTATATAAATCTTTCAGTAAAGAGAGAAAGAAAGACTCTGAAGGAACAGTAGTTTAGAAAGCCATCTAAATGACCACACTGTAGGAATGTTATAGTTGCATTTGACAAATCTGATGGCTGTTTGGGATATCATATTACTTTTGAAGAGATAAAATAAGACTAAGGACTTAGCTTTGACTTAAAGCATTCTTTCCCCAGACACAAAGGCATAGCAAATGTATGAAATTAATTAAAATATGTTAAAATATAAATATATTAAATATATAAAATGTTATTAAAAATTAGGTTTAAGCCCAATACCCTGAATAGTCACTTTGAATTACTAATAAATTATTCTTTTTTATAGACCTGTCCCTCACTTATTTAGGGTATTTCGTCTTGATTAAATCATGTAGAGATATCTATATAGCCAAACTGGAAGTAGAATTCAGATTCAGTCACGAAATCTATAATGTGCACATTCCTGCAGTCAGTATTGCTGAAGTTTTATGGATCAGCCTCTCTTACCACATATAACAGTCTGGGCCTTCAATTTACTCTTTCTTCCTTGCTGTGAATTTGATTCAGCTATTCCTCTTGTATTTTTCCCCCTCTGATAAGAGATGAAAATCTGCAATGTAATGCAGCTCTGCTGCCACTTCCTTGTGACCCTCAACATTTTTATGGTAGTTCCTCAAATCACAACTAGAAATTATCAGTAGAACAAACATTACATAATTATACGCAGGTACTTCACACATTTGGTGCACAAAAATGTAAATATTAGAGTCTACTTAAATCATTTAAAAATAGGAAGTAATTGACATAGTACAAGCTAGACAATATTTTTGCACCCATGATCATAATGCTTTTAAAAGCCAAAAAGCAATGGCACATTTATACTGAATGGCAGAACTAGTTGTATTTTATACAAATCCTGGTTATAATTTCCACAGCAGAAAAAAAGTTACATGACAAGATTGTCCTACTAGGTAAAATGAAAAATAGACTTAAAAGTCTCTACTGTAAGTGAAATTCTAGTTATGATAGATATTGACAGAATTTGTAATTCCAGTGATTGAGCTTTTTTGTTTTTTTGTTTTTTGTTTTTTTGAGTTGGAGTCTTACTCTGTCGCCCAGGCTGAAGTGCAGTGACACGCCACCACAGCCTCGACCTACTGGACTCAGGCCATCCTTCTGCCTCAGCCTTCCAAGTAGCTAGAACTATAGGCATGCGCCACCAAGCCCAGCTAATTTTTCTTGATTTATTGTAGAGATGAAGTCTCACCAAGTTGTCCAGGCTGGTCTCAAACCCCTGGGCTCAGGCAATCCTCTCACCTCAGCCTCCCAAAGTGCTGGGATTATAGGTGTAAGCCACCATGCCCAACCAAAGAAATCCTTTTTATTTTCTTCATGGTAATGAGCTAAATGCCTATACTGGTGGCTATAAATTATGGACTTCTGAAAACTAATTAAAAGCAGGAGAAAAGACTGCTCTTTACTTGCTCTGCAATATTGTACAATCTACATAATTTCTATTTATCTTGCAAGATGCTTGTGAATATTAGTTTATATGCATATAAAGTTTAGCTTACAATGGGTAGGAACTCAATAAATGGCTATTGATTATAATGGTAATTTTTATACTAGATTTTTATTTAAAAAGTAAAATATACAGTAATAAAATATTTAATAAGTATATTTTACTTCTTAAATAAAAAATCTAGTATAAAAATGTTTTATAAAAGTCTAGTATAAAAATATTTTATATATTATGTTAAAATATACATGTGTATAATATATATAATGTTTCTCATCTAACACGAATCTTCAGTTATTCTCTCCAGGGCAATCATTACTGACAGTTTCTTGTACATCCTTCCATAAATGTTCTAGGCTTATATAAATATACACATATAGGTATAAAGATCTATATTCTTATCTGTCTAACTTTCCATCTACATTCTTTTTCCAATTGTATCAGAACATATTTTACATATTGTTCTGGAACTCCGCTGTTTTTACCAAATAATATATCCTGAAGAGTTTTCCATATCAAAACATATATAATGATTATTTGACAACTGGCAAAGATTAATCTAGTATCTTTAGTTGGTAATGAGAATGCAGCTTTCAGTATTCAGCCTAATTCTTGTGACCGTTTTCTCAAACCCACCTCTTAACTACAGAACTAACCAAAATGCGACTTCTTTTCAGCCTTACTAACCACCATTGTTGTTCAGCATTTCACAAAGGTAGACTAATAAAAGATTCAGGAAAATATATAGCCTGTTTATCAAAGCCAAGTGTTCTGATGCTATTGAAATAAACTGTTATGAAAATTATAAAATATTATAAAATTAAGATAGAAATATTATTCTTAAAGAAGCCAACTGTATAGGAAGTGATCCAAAACAAAAACAATAGAATGACTTCATATTTGGGTCATTAGGCTTTAAATACTAAAAATAATTTGTACATAAAAGCATTAAGATTGGCTACAGTATAATAATGACCAGCTTTTTACTGATAAATTTTAATGTGTTAATTGTTGTGCTCATACCTAAAAAATGTTTACTCAATCCTCACAACAACTCCTCAAGGTAGGTACTATTATTATTGCTATTTTACAGATGGTGAAAGTTTTATAAAATGCTGTGATCTTTTAGAAGAGAAAATAAGGACTTGCAAACTAAAGAACTTCCAAGGTCAAGAAGCCAGGGTCACATGGCTAATAAGTTGATCCCACATCTACATAGCTCCAGAGACCTTGCTCTTTATCACTATTTTCCATCCTCGGTCTACTCTCCCATGGCACTTTCCCTGCACTCATTTAACAACTTTAGAAAGTGATAGAACTTAGGCACCAAAGACAAAGTCACACCTCAGTCAAGATGGTCTGAGCACAATATCTTTCCTTGTATTCCTTGTTTTGGGGACTGTGTAGAGTTCACATTGCTTGTTCTACAGAACTAAGTATAGGTCTCAGTCATTTCCATTGTCATCATCAGATGCTTTTATTAAGCATTTATTTATAAGAGCTGCTGTATAAAATGAGCAAAATAGATTTGACTTCTCCCTTCTAGAATGTTATTATAAGTAAAATGATATTATTATGGATAGAAATAAAAGACATGTAGTTAACAAACATTAAGCCATAAAAATCAATGTATTATATGCTTTTCTTCTGTAAAAGAACAAAAATGTGCATGTTTTCTCTAGAAAATAATGTTTTCTAAAGTATTTCCAAGTTCAAGTTTGCAACTTTAACATTCCAATTGGGAATATGTGAAATTAATAATAATCATTAAGCTAAAAACAGCCAAATAAAATAGACATTAAAATTGAAGCAATAAATGCTTAAATGGCCAGTGGTGACCAGAAGCCACCCCTAAAATATTTGTTGAAGTGAAACGCTGCAGTTAAGGATTCTTTCTGTTACTTGTTAGAGTTTCTTAGTATTCAAGGCCATTTCCCCTGGGAGCTCACACTATATAAATAATCTGTGGAGGAGAAACATACAAAAATTAACTTCCCATTACAAATAATTCAAATAATAGATGGTGAAAAGAGTGGGAGTTCCCTTAAAGGTATACTTGGGAAATATTAGAAACTTTTTAGTTTTCTTTATTATATGCCAGTTTATTGCACATAGATAACTTTTGACCTAAATTATCAAAAACACAAGTCAATTTTTTAACTCTAAAGATGTGGGGTAGAATTCAGGGCTAGGTATACACACATTGATTGTGCAGGTACCCTTGTTATCATCTGACTCTTATTGGGATTCGTTTTTGAATAATTCAGTGGTAGGGGTATGAGGCACTTAGGCGGAATAAGATTGGCCATATATTGATAATTGTTGGGCCTGAGTGACGAGTAGATGAGATTTATCATATTATTCTTTCTACTTTTGCATATGTTTGAATATGTTAACTATAAAAGAAAGTTTGAAATGATGGGGCGGGGGCCAGGCACGGTGGTTCAAGCCTGCAATCCCAGCACTTTGGGAGGCTGAGGTGAGGGAATTGCATGAGCCCACAGGTTCGAGAAGAGTCCGAGCAGCTTGGCGAGATCTCATCTCTACAATAAATAAAAAAATTAGTGGGCATGGTAGCACATGCCTATAGTTCTGTTACTTGGAAGACTGAGGCAGAAAGATCACCTGAGCCCATCAGGTCGAGGCTGCGGTAGCCATGAGCATGACACTGCATTCCACCCTGGGCGACGGAGTGAGACTCCAACTCAAAATAAAATAAAATAAAATAAAATAAAATAAAATGATGGGGGGATCATCTAGACCTAAATATCTATCAACTATTTATCAACAATGGTCTGAAAATTCAATCACCTTGAGATTAAAGGCTCAAAATGTGAAAGCATGTATAAGTAGCAAAGATTATCTAGTTGGAACTTAAAGAATACATACATTTATTTTCCTCTGCCTTGATGCTAACTTGAAGGGTATTTGTTATTTTTCTAGGGTCTGGAAAATAATATTACATATTAAATAAAATAATTGAATCTTTCATCATCAGAAAGAAACCATTAGGATTTGGCCCTTAAACTGCATGTGTTTGAAGATTCACTCATTTATCAAAATTGGAGAGAAAAAGTCTTTTATCAAATAATCTTTCTTTCTCTCTTTTCAAAAACATACATTATTTTGCCTTTTTTGAATCGTTAATGCACAGGTAAACTATTGGTAAATAAATAATCACTCCCTAAAGCGACACAATTTAAAATGCATTTATAAAAGGTTATGGGTCATCATTTATGGTAATGGAGTGTGAACAGACAAATTAATTCAAAGTATGAAGGAAAATACTGGTTTCAGGCAACAATCATAAACTTTTAGTCTTTGAGACTTTGGTCTCAAGAACATGAACCTGCCTAGGATCTTCAAGCCACTGCCTGTAGCTCATAGCCATCAAGTCCCCACAAACCCTCCACCCAAAGTTATGCTCAGTACTTTGATAATAAGTTGAGTTTATAATCACTGTTCTGGCTTACAAAGGAGGCATTTATTAAAGAGTGAAACCAAGGTTTGCTTTGCTATCTCAGAGCAGTAAGACAGCAAACATAGAAAAATGATTTTGCCTTAAGAGTAAATTACATCAAGATAAAATTTTCAGAAAATCCAACAAAAGAAGTATACATGGGAAGTTTTTCCTCCTCTGCAGTATAAATGTATTTAAAACATTGAAACTCTAGCAGGTTGAATATATTTACCTAAGGGAGAGTTGAATACCTTACACTGACTATATTTTTTAATAATTTAGGAAATGATTGCTTTACTAACTCTCTGCTGTTCTCTCATAGAATATTATTTTTGCCTCATTTTGTGACTTATTGATGATAAATTGAAGAACCATTAAACTGTAAGCAGGAAGGGCATCCACCAGGAAGAAATGTTCATTGAAGGGGAAATTTAAAATACCCTATTTATCCTCTAACCTACTTTATAAGATTTTTTTTCTTTATACATTGATGTTCTCATTAAATCAGATTTAAGGGTCATAGTCACCATTAGAGTTCATCAGATAGCAGAGCAATTTCCCAGACCAAGTCTTCAAATTCAGGTTACATCAGAAAAGACAAGTTTTATTCCCAAGACTATTTTTGTGTTGTTGTTTGAGTCAGAGGCTCATTCTGTCGCCTAGGCAGGAGTGCAGTGGCCCACTCACAGCCACCACAGCCTCAACCTGCTGGGCTCAGGTGATCCTTCTGTCTCAGTCTTCCAAGTAGCTGGCACTACAGTAATGTGCCACTACGCCTGGCTAATTTTTTATTTATCATAGAGATGAGGTCTCACCAAGTTGCCCAGGCTGGTCTTGAACCCCTGGACTCAGGCAATTCTCTTGCCTCGTCCTCCCAAAGTGCTGGGATTACAGGCTTGAGCCACCATGCCCAGCCCCCCAAGACTATCTTTAAAAAGGCAAGTGACTAAGGCTATATCTCATGGGATTGCCAATTAATCTAGGCAAAGTAAATTCTCCCCTTCCCGAATGAGTAGCTGCTGACAGTCTGGCCATGAGTTCTTGAAAAACTAGAATATTGACAATTAAATTTTTTTTTTGTTAAATCAAGCCAAGTAAATGGACCAAATAATTTCTTCAATATTCATGGAATTTTAACACATTTCTCAATTCCTTTTTCTCATTGACTATATCTTTCAGTTATAAAAATGAAAGTTATACTTGCCCCATTTAGCTGTCTTATGTGTGTAAAATTCTTTCAAATGTTTCACCCATCTAAAATGGACTGAATTGTATAGACCTATACTGTCCAGTACAGCAGCCACCAACAATATGTGGCTATTGACCACTTGAAATGTGGCTAGTCCAAATTGAGAAGTTCTGTCAGTGGAAAATATACACTGGATTTCAAAGACTTAGTATAAAAAAAGAAAGTAAAATATTTCACTAATATTTTTATACTAATTGTATGTATAAATAAAAATATTTTATGTAGATTCTACTAGTAAAGTACATTATTAAAACTCTGTGTTTCAATTCTTCCTATAAGTTGGGGCTGCAACTACTGCTAATTAATGCTTATATTGCAAATATTAGAAATATGATAGTCTACAAAATTACATCTATTTTTTAAATTTAAGGGTTCATATCTAAACTCAGGTTATGTCACAATTTCTTTGTACTATTAAAAAAATAGCTACTAAACATTTTTGAATTTCATGCCTGGTTTGCATTTGTAGCTGGCATAGATCATCAGTTGCTGCTCTGCCAGTTCTTTGAACTTTTGCTTATCCATATCTTACCATGGCATGAATATATGATGTTAGCTTTCAATTACTTGTGCAAGTAGGGAGTGAGGATGCTTAAGATGAATGTATTCCTCAGGTAATTCAAAACTAAATTTTAACTATTAATTTCAAATATGTCATTCAGTTTTTTCCCAATACTGTCAGAAAATAATTAAATAATATGGTTTGGGATTAAATCCATTCATTCCCCTTTTTAAATGTGGCGTGGATAGAGAAAACAATAAGAAATGGACTGTCACATAGGGAAAAAAGAAATAGGAGGCAAGAATGGATAAGAAGTAGTAGAGATCAGGGAATTTCAAATTCATCTTATGGATTCAGCATTGTTTATTGATTGCCTGTTAAGTGGCAAGTTCTTGGTTGCTACTGAGGAAAAGTAACCCACAATATAGAATGCTAATAATCATTCTATAATCACGGTAATTAAGTGTTGAATAGAACATCGATTCAGTTGTCACACAATGACTCTTTCACATTGCACTACATTAGTTATTCAAGTGTCACACCAGTATCATGAACGAAGTCTCACAGGAAAGTAAAGTTAGGGAAAAATCCTTGCATAGAGAAGGAGAACAACAAGCTGGAAGAAGAAGAAAATTGAAGTCACTTGGAGTAAATAGCCCAAATTAGGGTTAGTGAACAGTAGGAAGGTATGCTAATGGCACACTATAGCCCAAAGAAGCAAGAGTATGGCAAGGGCAAGAGTGTTAATCATGCTAAAATGAAACCATTATAATAAATATGAATCATTCTTTCATATTAGTCCCATCTTAGAGGGGAAAAAAGTGTCTTGTCCAAGACTTCTGGTGCTATCAAAACATATCCTAGGCTGAAACCAATTTAGATGTCTTAAAATGCTGTCATTCTATAATAGTGGTAATTAAGTGCTGAATCCAAGAAACTTCTCCAATGGTTCCAAAACTCCTCCTAGGAAAGAAAACTTTTACCAGAACTCAAAGTGGTGTAGTTTACCCAAAGAGTCAGGTAAGTACCAGATAAGCTAAATTATCTGAAATTATTTATGCCTTGTTTAAAAGAAAACAGTGGTTGAGAGGTAGTCAACTTGAAAGAAACAGAGCTCAGAGCTGTTTTGCCCCTCCCCCCAAACCCCATTGAACTCCAAGACTATCCTACTAAAGAGGGTCTTTTTCAAAATTAAGTCACAGGGGGGAAAAACTATGAAAGAGTTTAAACCCTTACTTATACTATTTACTTCTTATTTCTACTAACTATTCTTTCTAGTACTCGGCTATGAGACTTATCACCTTCTATATAAAACTAGCATATTCAACAACTTTCAGGAAAAGGGCATGTAGAATCTGAAAAAAAACTTCCCTTACAGGAATAGCTTTCTTGTAGTCATCCAGTACATTTAAAGTTTTGTAGACTACTTTTTTATATTTTCAGAAAAAAAGTCTGTGTGTTCTTTCAGTGGATCCTCTTAAAGATCCTCTAAGGCAAATACAGAGAAGTTTTGTCATCATTATTAAACCTTTAAAATTGTTTAACGGTAGTCCTCTAAAAAAAGAGGGGCCACAAACATAAATAATAAGCACAGAAAGGCTAATAGAAAGAAGCTCAGATACACTGTATATCTGAAGAATGTTGCCTTTCTGGTCCGAACTGCTAAAGACCCTCATTCACTCTGGCTGGCTTTCCTTCCTTGCATCCCTTCTCTCTTTTTGTTCCTTCTGTGTTTTAAATTGATCTAAATCTGACCACTTTCACCAAAGGAAATATTCTCACTTGTGGAAGAACTTTCCAGGTTCCCTCCAGCACCCCTGTTGTCTGAGCCATGCCTGAAAATCACTCATAAAGTGAGCCCATCAGCCTCCCAGGGCAAATATATTTTACTAAAATGACCAGAATATGTTTTATTTTCTTTCTGGTCTTCTAACATTTTATGTCAATTGTTTTGATTGGCCTTTTGAACGTTTTACAGAACCATTTGTTTGTTGACTGACTACTGTATTTTTGCTGTCTATAAAATACAGAATGTGGCAGTGGCCCCAGGTTCAGCTGACGGGGTTGCCAATGGTGATGGTATGCCTGGAGATGAACAAGCTGAAAACAAGAAAGAAGATCAAGCTGGTGTTGTGAAGTTCGGATGGGTGAAAGGTGTGCTGGTGAGAAAGCTCCTCTATTTACAAACGACAACTATACATTCAACGTTCTAGTGCATTAAGTGTTAACAAGCCCGGACACCAACTGGGCTTTGCCCCACTATCACTTTTCATGTCTCCTTCACTATCCCTTCAATCCACAGGTAAGATGCATGTTGAATATCTGGGGAGTCATGCTCTTCATTCGCCTTTCCTGGATAGTTGGAGAAGCTGGAATTGGTAAGCACTTTTCCCTGCTCTTCAATAATTTTCAATGGAAATTACAAACTCAATAAGCAACTTGTTTTCACAAGTTAATGCTGAATGTGAAATGAAGGTCACAGAAATAATTGACACTTGGACTCCTTTCTCTTTGCTTCTTTGACAAGGTTTTTCAGAGAGGAAAGGTGAAGAATTAACTCTGTGACACTGGAATTTTCCAGCTTGCCAAATAAGTGAATGCTCAAGTACATATTTCTATCTTTTGATAAGAGTTTTAGGTATACAGGTATATAAATGCACATGCATTTTAGGTAACATTCATATTTGGGGGCATTTGCTTCTCATTTGTCACAGAGTGTCCCTTTTCATGATGATTGACAAAACTTCACTGAACAAAAAAAAAAAACTTGTGGGAAAACTAGTGAAAATGTGACTTGACTAATAAAAATGCTGAATTGTTGAACATTTTCCAAAGAAAATAACTGTGTTACTTTCAGGTACAAGCAGTAACAAAAAAGCTAATAAAATATTGTCTACTGTAAGCTTAAAATGATAGATGAAATGACTTTGATAATGTATATTACTAATGTTATTTTTTCTAGATGGAAAATAATGACAATGATATTATTTTAAGAGTGATTATTTGATGTTTTATATCCAACTGAAAATATTATTTCCTCTAGCAAGTCCTTTTTGTTGAGAGTGTATCAGTAAAATTTATGTGAAAAATCTATTTGAATTTTATCAAAGTTTCTGATTTAATGTAATAAAATTAATGATGTTCATATATGGAAAATACATGATGAATTTACTTGTGGGGGAAGATTTAGTGTCAAGAACATAGAAGTTCAAACGGGCTTTCAGACACCACTCCAGAAGGTATCTCAATTCACAATTTAAAAGGCAGTTGGTCATTATTTATTGCCTTTGCTCTTCAAAACATATTCAGAATCACCAGAAGACTAACTCGAAAAAGAAAAGGCTAAGCTGTAAATTGAAAAACTGGAGCCAGTTCTCATAGTTTTTCCAGTTTCATGTTTGGCATCTGCTGGGTTCCTGACAAAGGGCTGCTTGCCGGTTTTATGATGCATAGCAAATGAATGCTCACAGCCGCAGGGGCCAAAATAAGTATATGCTGTTCCATGGAAAATCTGCATCTTAATATTGCCAAGGTTTTGCTCCAGGGTTTCATGCAAAATTAGGTTTTTAAGGGCAGTTTAGTAACTTATTGAGATCATCAAGAAACATTACTTTGTTTGGAGGTGTGAGACAGCCAAAGGCAAGAGTAATTCTTTTTAATGCAACTTATTTAACATCCTTATGTTTGGGCAATAATCTGAACTTTAATCAGATCTTACATTACTCTTCACAGTCTACCCAGTTGCAAGTTCATTGCAAAATTGTAAAATATAAAGAATCCCATCTTCTGCTAAATGGTTTATTACACTATCAGACATTAATGTTGTTTTAATAAGGATATTTTTATTTAAGTAATAAAATTATATATTAGAAGAGAGTAGAATTCTACCTAATGAGTATTCAATGGGTTTTCCTTTGAATGGAGGTTTTTGTTTTTCTTTTGTCTTTTGTTTTTTCTTTTTTGATGATCAGAAAAGAGACTTCAGTGAGTAGTAGAGACTTAGTATCAACCTTACTCAGTTTTAATGGCCTTTTCTGTGAACCTAAAGTTAAATTAGTTCCGTCATCATCTGGGTTCCATTTGGGTTTCCTTTATTAGGAAAGAAAATAAACAAATACGAGTATTTTCATCTTGCTTGGAGAAGTAGGGGTAGTTTGGGGAAGAAATCAGAATATATTTTCAAGCCCAATACCTGGGAATAAACCCAGAAAGAATCTAGAGCCAGGAGTAACAGTAGCTCCCGTCGCTCCTTGGGTAACTAACCATTCTGGGGCTATGAATTTGGGCTCTCTTATTCCCAAAAGCAAGTGGTAGAATGAGCTGGTAAGGCTGTCTAGTGAATTTTCTCTTTCTTGGAGACCTTGTCTGGGGTAAGATGGTTTTCAAAAAAATTAACCAGCAAGCAGGAAAATTGTGTGTGAAAAGCAGGTATGACCTGAAGTAAATCTCTTATAGTCCGTGAGTTTTACTTTTTCTTCTAAAAATTAGGGAGCAGGTTAATTCTTTCCCAATCAATTATGTGAAGATAAAACTAAAGAATAGTCAGACAGAAGTTGAGATAGGCTGAGGGTAGTTTAGTCATACTGTAGGGTACATAAGAATTGTCCGGGAAGTTAGATTAGGAAACTGCAGAAATCTGAGATCCACTTTTAAAGATCCCAACTCAATAGATCTGGGAATTTTTAATAAACACCTCAGGCATTTCCTAAAGCAAGTAGTTCAAGGACTATACTTTCAGAAAACAATGAACTAAATGTTCTCCAAGCTGGCATCTACCCTACCCTAGGATTTTGTTTGATTATGAGTGAGAAGCCCATCTCTCGCTGTTAAAACTTGGTCCCAATATTTCAGTGGTTTACAGAGATATTTACAATATGAAAGGATTAATAAAAAATTGTTGAGAAAGTAAAGAGGTAAAGGGAATATAACAGTGGGAAAATAATAAAGCCAGAGTAGGCTTAATGTCATGAAATGCAAATATATGGTTCTGTAATATTGTAAATATTTGATATCAAACTTACTGAAAACAACATCAAGAGCAAAACAAGTGCAAATAAGTCACCTTTACTGGCACAAGGACCTGAAGCCACATAGAGATACAAAGGTGATGTTCACCGCAGCATCCCTGTAATTGACAAAGATTTAGTGCAACACTATTTCTTACAGTCACTAGCTTTTGAGAGTCTATAGGTGCCAAAGCAATATCACCCAGTTTGTAGCTTGTGCCCACAGTTAGCTTCTTCCCACTGCTCTTTAACCTGGAAAGTAGCCTAGAGACTCCTGCTGGAGGTGTGTATGGCCAGGAACATCAAAGAAGCCAGACTCTAGAACCTGATTTGCATTGTTGCCCTTAACCTCCCTTCCCTTCCCCTTCTCTTGGAATATGTCCAGAGAAATCGCATCCTCTCTTGGCCAACTACCCTTCTAACCATCCCTGGGACAAGAGAGCCTGCCAACAACAACTATGAAATATTCACTCTATGTAGCGGAGTATACCAAACAGTCCAGACCAGAGCATTCTGGGTGGAGCCAGGGTGAGTTTACTGGCTGGGACCCCATAACCTTCCCCTGAATTCTGTGTCAGCCTTCCTTGGAGAGCATATTAAAGGGGAGAAAACACTCTGACCCTCTACTCACCTTAGGTTCATTATAATTTAGACTGGCAAAATCAGATCAACAGAGAAAACAAGAAAAAATTTCTTAACATGAGCATGATGCATAAACATGGAAACACTCAGTGATGAGTGACTCAAAGGTGTGTTTAGAACATGGGCTTATATATCATCTTAACAAAAAATAAAATTGTAGAGAGGTGACAAGACAATGGAAAATGACTTTTCACTCTCAGGGTGGCAAGTTGTGGGAAGGTAAATCAATTGGAAAACTAAGAAATGATAAGGGCTAGTCAGTAAGACTTGTGTAGATTCCTATGTTGCCTTTTTCAGGCTGATAAGGGTCTAAAGTTGTCTCTGGTGATTAGTTTCTGTTCTTCCTGGTAGAGAGGGTGAGATACATTTATAAATTTATGTCCTGCTTTTAGGAGATCAAGAGCTTTTTATGTATCTTCTTCTTTTCAATCACCTTCAGCTCAAAATAATCCTTTTGCCCAAGTGGTATCTCCTGGAATATTCTGCAACCCTTCAGTATCCTCCTGGCTGTGTGTTTCTTGATGCTGAAAGCAGTCATGCCTTCCTTGAATTCTGGCCTCTATCACTTTCTCCCTTTTCTTATAATCATTGACCTTCTGAACCATAAGACTCTTGAAGGTAACTTTTTAAATTCCATTTTGTGTGTTCCTTACATCTTTCACACTGTCTGTCACATAACTGGATTTATAGTAGGCTTTTAAACAAAAATAGCTATTATGACTATTGAGGATATGCTCATAAAGCAGTAACACTGATTGTACTGTGTGCTATGCACTACAGTAGCTACCTTACACATGCATTCTTTTTAATTTCATTGCCATTACTGATTTAGAAAATAAGTAATATGCCAGAGGTTACAAAACCAATAAAGTAATGTAGTTTAATTCGATTCTTTCTACTTTATCCATCTATCAGATGAATAATTTGCTATACTGTATTTAATTTTCCAGCTCTACATGACCAAATGTCCATAAAATGACAGTTACCTGGAAAGCTGAACATTTAATCTCTAGTTATAGTGACAGCTTGGAATTGTAGACAAGTCATTATGTTTATAGGTGCTTAAAACTTTATCAAAAATAGGGCTCTGCCAGGTGTGGTGGTGTGTGCCTGTAGTTCCAGCTACTCAAGAGGCTGAAATGGGAGGATTACTTGAGCCCAGGACTTCAAGGACAACCTGGGCAACATACTGAGACCTCGTCTCAAATTTTTTTAAATGGGGTTCAAATCAAGTCATGATCAGTCATAGCTGTGCTGTTGTATACAGCTTAGCACTGCCCATTTTAGCCCTTGATGTTCTTGGAACTTGAGCTACCACAGGCAGAAAAATTCAAAGCTCAGCGTTTATTCTCTGGTGATTTTCTGGCCAACTTGTTAAACTCAAATGTGGTACTTTGGTGATTACCCTAAACTTACTTGCTTTTATGTAAATAATCAAATGGATTGTTCCACCATTTAATGCCTTTATTTTTCCTCTCTCAACTGAGGTCTTGGTGTGATTATCATCGGCTTAGCCGTGACAGTGACTGGTATCACTGGTTTATCCACCTCTGCTATTGTCACAAATGGATATGTCAGAGGAGGTAATTAAACTTGTGACCTGTACGATCATTTGTAAGGTAAAGGCAACACAGGCTCTATTAGTTCACCACTGACCTTTCTGGAGTGTTTTCAAAGGTAATGCAAGTTGGTTTATTTTTACTCTTCCTCCCCCAGGCAAAAGGATGCAAGAAAAATGGGAAAGGTTAACCTTTGTCAAACCCCCAACTTTCTCATTCAGGTTCCTTTCAAGCAAGAAAGAAGGTTAAATGTCATGTTTTCTCTTTTCACAGCCAAGGTATATCCTCTCCCAGGACATCAGCATTAAGTCAACTTTTCCTTTTCAAGGCTACATTTTAGATTGTGTTTACTTTTGGAAACCATCCTTCATCAAAATGAGCCGTTCTCTGACTTCATCTTTATGCCAAGCATACCAGTTTCTCCTTAGCACAAAGAAACTCCATTGGGATCTGAGGCATGGACCCGAAAACTTAAAGGCAGTATAGTTTGCAGCGATAGGGAATCCAAGGAAAAAAAGTAAAATGTATTATCTTTTATCTTTCATTGCTAACAGGTCTTGGAGTTCTCATAATTCTTCTTTCCACCATGGTAACTTCTATTACTGGGTTGTCAACTTCTGCAATAGCAACTAACGGGTTTGTCCGTGGAGGTAAAATCTTTAAGATATCTAATGCCCTCATCATTTGCTACGGGTAGGCAAACATTTTTATATACTTTTGTGATGGGATCAAGGAAGTAGCCAAATATTCTTAAAGACTGGCTAGCCTTTTGGAGGAGCCAGATGAAGAAGAAAATGTAAGGTGCGGTGAGTATAGTCCAGGTCTACATTGATTTCTTTTCTAACGGTTCTCTCTGGCACATTGCAGGTCATGCCTTACAGAAGTGCACATTTCTTGGTTAAACATTTTATTTTTCAGGCCAGTCTGCATATCTCTTGCTGATGTTTCTTGGAAAACAACTCCTGCATATGGCTTCAGTTTTAAAGTTTAGTACATTTCAGGTATTTCCTACGCCCTTGTGGAAAGAGATCTTTTAGAACATTTCAGGTCTTCATAGGAAGATTGATCCTTCTGTGGCAAGATTCAGACCACTGACTTCTGAAGTACTGGTGACCTCTTTCAGTACTGGAGCCAAACACTTTTCTTGGGGGATTTTGCAGGTCTTGGAGTCATCATCATTGGCCTGAGTGTGGTAGTGACGACACTCACAGGTATTTCTATGTCTGCTATTTGTACAAATGGAGTAGTAAGAGGAGGTAAGTCCATTAATTTACTTATGACTACAGGTTTGGTGACTAATCATTTCTGAAGCTGATTTAATATCGGAAGTGAAATTTGAATTTGCTAATTAGTCTCCAACATCTTTTAAAAAATGAAACAAAGTAACCCAAAATTTAAAGATCAAGGCAAATTTTTTTCTCAAAAATATTTCTATAAAGTTAGAATATCTCCAGGAAATATTTATTTCACCTATTTCTTGTGATGAAACATGTTTATAAAGTGGAGAGTAACTATGTGTCTAGTAAGAAGTCATGGACTATTACAGTAAAATATATGGTTCCTTTGTACATTGGATGAACCTCTCTGGCTCTCTCCCAAGTATCCTCAGCATGGGTCTTCTGCAGTGCCCCAGTCCATAATGCTGACGATTCCTACTCAGTAAACCACTCCTGCACCTGGGACTCAGGATTCAGCCCAAACATTATGTTCCCAGTGGCCAATAGGCAAGGGAATATCATCAAAAGGAAAGAAAAAAATAAGGAATTACTTTCAAATCATCTAGGAGCATGTAGGCCTATGCAGAAAATAAATGGGATGAAGTTTATTGCTCTTCTCATTTCCCTTCGTCCCCCTACCCTTCCCTTTTGCTTTCTCTGGTTCTCTACTTAGGTCCCTCATCAGATCTCCCCACTCAGGGCCTTCTAAAACACTATCTGACACATAACACACTTTCACGCCTGTCTCTCATTTTGACCAACCCTGCCTGTCCCTCATTTTGATCAACCCTACCTAGGTCCCTGGCTAGCAAAGCTGTTGAATGTAATCTGTGTAAAGGAAATAATGGGGATTTGCTCCACCTAGAGAATATGTTGCACTTTTAGAGAGGACTTTGATTCATGAAGCTAAAAGAGTTTCTATAGTGAAAGAAAAATTTTAATCAGCAAAAAGTCATTTTGTTTTGTTTTTAGATGTCTCATTTAATGTCATTCTCATGCCAAATCCCTCTGCCTCCAAAACCACCTCAGTGATTCATGAAGCTAAAAGAGTTTCTATAGTGAAAGAAAAATTTTAATCAGCAAAAAGTCATTTTGTTTTGTTTTTAGGTGTCTCATTTAATGTCATTCTCATGCCAAATCCCTCTGCCTCCAAAACCACCTCAGTATTAGGAGTCACTAATTTACTGTGGTCTGTGATAATCAGGCCTCTTAACATCTAGTCCTATCTACTTTCAGTAACCTGCTCTAGGGACTTCCTAGGCCATTGGCCAATCTAGTTCAGTCTTTCATATGCACAGATGTACACAGCCTTGTCTAGAACTATTTTTTCAATGTCCAAGAGAGAAGGAATTGTTCCAAGGCCCTCCCTACTTTTCTTCCACTTGCTACCCCTATGCATATATGACTACTTGGTAATAATCATGCCTTCTTGAACTAAAACCATAGAAAACCAAGCCTCACTTATGGAATGGATAGTACCTAGCACTAGACACATATTTTATGCAGTGAATATGTACCAGGAAAGTGTATCTATGTAAAAGGTATGAAATATAAATATATAAAATTGTATATGCAACAGAAAGGAAGTTAGAAGATAAACTTCACCCACTTCATTTTCTATCCAGGCTTTCCTACTCCTGAAAACTTTTTGATAGAAAATTTTACTTCAGTTGCATTATTCATTGAACATTTCAATATTGCTTAAATACAAATAATTTTTGTGTAAAGTTTGCTGTGTTTTCATTTGTAGCTTATCTTTTACATTTAGGTTTTAATCAATTGGATTTTATGGTTAGGATACTGCTATTATAGATGATGTACAGAGTACCAAGAAGGGCTATTTTTCATTAGGGTGATACAAAATTCCTAAAATTATTAGAATGTTATCATATTTTTATTAGATTAATTCACATTTCAAATGCTCTCAGATGTTCAAAATTATCTGGTCTTATAAACAAGCAGTTCCTCCATGTAAAGTGTGTTCATTTCTTGTTTCAGGTGGGGCCTACTACCTCATTTCCAGAAGTTTAGGCCCCGAGTTCGGTGGGTCAATAGGCTTGATCTTTGCTTTTGCCAATGCAGTGGCTGTTGCTATGTATGTGGTGGGATTTGCTGAGACTGTGGTAGATCTTCTTAAGGTAATTAAAAGCTTTTCTTTTCTTTAGCCAAGCAAGATAATTCCATTAGTTTGCTTTTCCAGGGCACTAGGGGCTATTAGTATAGCCAGATGAAAGGAAAAAAGTTGGATATAGTGGAAGGAGCCTGGGCTTGGCATCAGAAGATTTGGCTTGAAGTCCAGGCGCTCACATTTGCCAGCTGAGAGACATTGCATCAGCTCCTTGATTCATCTGAACCTTGTTTTCCAAATCTATAATATGGGTTATAATTCTGTTAAATGTATTTCACAGAAGTGTGGTATAGATCAAGTGAAATAGTGTGTAAAATAATGGATATTACTATCAGAAGCAATACTATGATTATGGTTATAGAGCTCCAAAGGGAAAGAAAGTTTAAACATTAAAATAACTCACTGCAGAAAACTAGGCATTTTCTAGGTAGGTGGCCAGTCTAGGGTGGTGCATGCTCAAGCACATTAACTAACTGGTATACCAACTAACTTCTAGTCCTTTCTTCATGCTAGTGAAGGTATTCACTGAATTCAATTGGTAAAAGTGCAACTATTTTAAAATTAGATAAATAAATAAGCTTATAAGTTATAAATTTATATTATCTTCAAGAGCTGTATTATCAGGTTTTTGTGGTCTGTTCTTAAATTGAATAGCACTTAATTTCCAGCATTCACATTGTAAAACCATTTTTATTTTTCTAGATTTCCTCTAATATGCAAAAGTGAGTGCTCATTCTTCTGAAGCAAAACAAAACTTGTATATGTACACACACTTTTACTGAGTGCTACAATAGCTTCCAAAACTATGACTAGAAAGAATCTCTAAAACTTCTAACTCCTAACCTTAGCTATCAAAGGTCTATTTCCACAGAAAAAAAAATTAACGCTAGGTTCTTTAACTTCTCAAATTTTGAATGTTTCAATTTGCTATTATCCTAAATGGCCCCAGGTGTTAGTACACAATATTTCTTTTTACTGTTAAATGCTATAATAAGCACCAGGAGCAGTGGCTCACACCTGTAATCCCAGCACTTTGGGAAGTGGAAGCTAGAGGATTGTCTGAGTCCAGGGTTTTGACACAAGCCTGGGCAACCTGGCCAGACCTCGTCTCTACCATAAATAAATTTTTAAAAATTAGCAAGGTGTGTTGGCGTGCACCTGTAGTTGCAGTTACTTGGAAGGCTGAGGCGGAAGGATCGCCTGAGTGCAACAGGTTGAGGCTGCGGTGGCCATGAGCATGCCACTGCATTCCAACCTGGGCAACAGAGTGAGACTCTGACTTAAAAAAAAAAAAAGCTACAGTGAGACACACTTGCAAAAAGCTGTATCTCTAACCATTTAATATTTCACACCCCCAGGAGAGCGACTCAATGATGGTGGATCCAACCAATGACATCCGGATTATAGGCTCTATCACGGTGGTGATTCTTTTAGGAATTTCAGTAGCTGGAATGGAATGGGAAGCAAAGGTGAATTTCTCAAAAATGATATTATCAACATCATCTGGTCAGGTCCTGAAAAAAATTTCAGGAATAGGAGGAACCCCAAACTCAGAAAGAATTGCTGTTATTATTTACTATGGTGAAAGGATCAGGTTAGTGCTATGTGGAACACCAAAACCACAAAGCACAAAATCCAGACAGTCATGATTCAACTCACAAGTCACGTGACAATCCTGTGTTTTGTCCTTCTTTGTGCTGTCATCACAGCGACACAGCCACCGAGGTGGCTGCCATCTTCATGCACAGGCCCCTTATGATCACAGCAATGATGCACTCTGGAAGCCTGTGTCTCTCAATCACAAACTCTGGTATTGCCTTTTAAGCTGCCTGTGGATGTTAAAGCCCAAAAGAAATGACAAGTGTATTGGGAGAAGGTACTAGAGGCAAAAGCATTCATTCTCTTCTGAAACTTAGTACTTCACCAGCAACTTTGAGGGCATCATATGCTGCAGGACCACAAAACAACTGAGTTTAACTAGTTATAAAACAGATAGCAAATTTCTGAATAATGGTAAGCATACCTTTTGCCTCCTTTATGAATCTACCGTGATTGATACAATTGAAAATGTTCCTACGCGCCTGGAGTTGAAGTAACTAGAGCTCAAGTGGTTGTAAGAAATGGAAAGATGTTCAAAGACTCCCATCTATAAAAGGCAGTAGAAAACATTCTTACATGATGTTTTTTAGATTTTGCATTTGCACATTAAACAAAAATGTATTAAGTGCCTACCATGTGATGAACATTCTGCTTGGCACTAGGTGTTCAGTTTTGACCAAAACAGGCAATCCCTGCCCTAGTTCAATATATGGTCTGTGGATATATGAGTAATAAACAAGTGAATGAATAAATTTAAAATGATAAATTATAGAAAGTGCTGTAAAGAAAATAAACAGAATACTGAGAAAGAAACAAAACAAAAACAAGGGGAAGTCTACTGTAAACTACTTTACTCCCAGGGGAGCAGTGAAATTTAATGGTTGTCAAAGCTAGTATTTAAAGCCCCAGTTCTATAGTCAGAGTACCTGGATTTAGATCTGGTTTATATCTCTGTGACCTTCAGTAAATTATTTAAACTCTCTGTGCCTCAGTTTCTTTATCTTTAAACTGGTGATAATAATATTACCTATATCATAGGGTTGTTAGCTTGTTAGTGGTATTATCTACCTAAATAAACATATGCAGGTGAAGTTAAAACTACACCTGTTCTATTGTAAGTCCTCAGTGAACATATAGGTGTTATTATTTAGATTAAGTGGTCAAGAAAGGCCTCTCTGAGGAGATAACAGACTTAAAGGACGAGAAGAAGAAAATACTGTAAGCAAAGAATAGAGTGAAGTATATCCCAGGTAAAGGAAATACCATATGATAACACCAAGTCATAAAAGCCTTGAAATATTGGAAGACCATCTGGCCAGTCTACCTTGCAGATTGCTTGTACTGAGCACACAGCGGCAGCCTGATATCAAGTGCCCTGGGCATCACAGGTATTCTACGTATCATTCTGTGTGCTCAAACTCCTTCTGCAGTTAGCACTGGGAAAAGCAAGAAACTGTAGGTGCTCTCCCTGGAAAAAAACTCATCTATCAGTGTTAAAACTTTTAGCTCCATTTACATTACTGTAGGAGTTACTCACCTGCTACTTGGAATGTTCTTGAAATGTCACCTTCAAGTGTCCAAACACATGCTTCCAATGAAAATGTAGTGTCTACATCCAGGAAGAATAAGGCTCATTGAGATGCCATTCTATAGAGATGCATTTATTACCTACTCTGGGTAGCAAAGTCTGAACTAAAATAATGAGATAGAGTCTTTCTCCAATGTATAATCATAACTTTCATAATATGTAAAAAGCTAAATAAATCTAATGTGGTCTCCTTTTACTTTGCCATTCCAGGCTCAAGTGATTCTTCTGGTCATTCTTCTCATTGCTATTGCAAACTTCTTCATTGGAACAGTCATTCCATCCAACAATGAAAAAAAGGCCAGAGGTTTCTTTAATTACCAAGGTACATGTGACAAATTAGTTGCTTTTCAATAACTGGTTCTCCATTGCCCCCCTCATCACCATTCTCACCAGCCCAACCCTAGTCTTTGGAAGTTCAGTGTGGTCCAGAGTGAGACCAGTTGACTTAGAGTTGGATTCAGGAGATCCCATGTTGTGTCTTAGTCCTGCCACTGAGCAGCTAGACAAATCAAACATTTTGGGGGCTCAGATTTTCCTGCTAAAGTAATAAAACATAATAAGAACTTTCTGGGGGAATTTTGATGTGCAAATAAGATAGGAATGTGAAAGTGTCTTGTAAACCTTAAAGTGCTGGACAGATGGTTGTTGCTGTCAAATGACAGCAATAGAGAGCATATGAAGGGGAAAAGAACACAGCTAGGATAATTTGTTTAACCGCTACAGAGCACCAAAGTTAAACAGAGCCATTTCTTCCTGCTAGACTTTTGTGCACCTTGATTTCCTATAGCATTACTTAGTTAAGCCTCAATTTCCGGTCAGATTTTCAGGCATAAAAGGCTGTAAGAATGAATTAGTGTAGTGTCCTATGATAACATCACTGAACATGAAATCCAACCTCTGTCTCTCCTATTCTACTCCTCCTATACACTCTTTGCTCTCCTTCCTCTCTAGCTTACTCAATAATCCACTGCTGTGATTTTTCTCTTAAATATTTCCCTTCATTATTTACTCAGTCGCCAGTACTTGTTTCCTTTTTATATCACATCACCTCTTTTTTCCTGATTCTTTTTCTCATAAAAAGTGTTTTATTTGTTTTGCATGTTACTATACTTTTCCTTTCTATTATTTTCCATCCTTCCCACTCTTACCAGATTTTGTTTCTTTATTTTTGCATTTCAGATTCTTTTGTTCACAATTTTCTCCCTCCTCTTTTTATCATTTTCCTTTCTTTTTCTCTTCTAGATTGTTTAAGTAATTTGATGACAACTTCCAGGATAGCATTATTTTATGAACAAAGCTCCTCACTATATTATATTGAGAATTTTGTATAAAGATTTAGAATCCAATCTCTGGGAACAAGGATTAAAGAGATTAGAACATTAGTAGTAAAATTGTAAAGCCGGGCTCGGTGGCTCAGCCTGTAATCCCGCGCCTTTGGGAGGCTGAGGTGAGTGGATTGCCTG